CAGATGGGTCAGTTGTACATTGATACAGAGAAAGTCGTCCGTGTAGAATAAAGAGAGAATAAAGAAGTAAGATAAGGAGAAACTGAGGAGGGGAGGATGAGGGGGAAGAAGGGAAGGGGGAGGAGGTAAGGAGGGGTGGACCGGCGGGGTACCGGGTCAGGTTGGGCCGGGTGGAGCCGGGTCAGGCGGGTGTGCCCTGACACTCAGACAGAAACCATCCATCTTCAGTCCATCTTCTGACAGTCAGCCCAACTCTGACAGTATTCCGACTCTGACAGCTCCATACTTAGGGAGGTGTAGGTAATATATTGAAAAGAGCGGAGGCAATCCAGAAGGATCGGAGGTAGTGGAAGACAATGGCCATGGATGGATATGACACTCACCTCTGCCATATCCTCCGGTATACTTCCAGTCCACCTCCACCTCCGATGTCCGGTACCTTCTCCGGTACCCCTTATCCTCATCATAGAAGATTATTAATATTTCTATCTACCCAACATTACCATGGACCTCCTAGGACCTCCGCCAATCCTGAAAATGTTTTCCCATTCCTCAATAGCTGTCGCTAATCCCACCCTTCAGTTACCCACTCCACAGTGCTCAATAAGGCAATTCTCTCATGAGCTTGCCAACCTGGCAAGTGGGTAAGTCCATCTTGGGTTTTCCCTTTCTTCTCCTATTTGTCCTTTATTATGTATATAGGTCATGTACCATAGTTGATGGCACTTCAGTGCAAAATCGATGACTAGATTTCCCCAGAGTTTGTGCCCCCCTGTTCTGAAGTTAAGGACCCAACACTAGCATTACCAAACATTGGCACAGTGCTCCCCTCTGAGTCGCTGAGGCCATGGTCCCTGTCAGAACACATCAAGGAGAGGAGACCAGGCATGTCTGGACCTTTCCCTGGAAGGGAGGCCAGAGGTAGAGGACGAGCGGAGGGACTGCAGCCTCAGCAACTCAGAGAGGGGCGCTGTGCCAACATTCAGTAACACTAGTGTTGGGTCCTTAACTTCAGAATGAGGGGGTGCTGTCAGGGACGGCTTGAGAGAGGTGGAGGTAGCGGCGTAAAGCTTGGCACTAGCAGCCCAGATGGTGGCAGGGCAGTGAGACTGTATGGTGGGCAGCCCTTCTCTGGGCTTATGTCCCTATGTAGCTTCTTAGGCTGAAGCAGTAGTGATTGTCATTAGGATGAAAGGCTAAACTAAAGTAAAGTAAGATACTGTCAGGGCACAGCCCCTGACCCCACACACCCTCAGGTACCCTCCCCCCATTTTCTCCTATTTTTCCCTTCACTGTTCCACAATCCCGCATGCATGCAGACCGTGGGAACGTTCTGGGCGAGTTACTCGCCCAGAAACCATCACAGCCACAACCATGGGGACTTTCTGGGCAAGCTGCTTGCCCAGAATCTTCCCACGGGGGGGTGCCAATTATGGAAAGTCGGCAAAGAGCCGAAAACTGTATAGTTCCCAGCTCCCATTTGTAGCGGCTTCACAGGAGGTTGAGAAGGTTACCCTTCTTCTCAACTCATTTCCTGTGAAGGCTGGGGCTAGCCCCCTCAGTGAGTTTGAAGACCTCGGACTGGGACTAGATACCCCAGCGACTCGGAGGATCCCCTTGGGCCTGTCACGGAACGAGGGCCGGGCCCTGACAGATACTTGCCTGAAGCAGTAGGCTACTTCTTCGGTTCTGCTTCAGCTCAGTTTATATACAGGCATGAATGGGTCACATGTGGGGTGCCATGTCAGCCTGGGTAGAGCTGGGCTATCGCGGATGACTCTGCAGGCAATCCCAAGTGTCAGAGGAAATAAGTACAAATGAGGATGTGCGGCATACCCAGTGGCACAGTACCCACACGGAGTACTCGGTGTCAGGCACATCTGTGCTACACAAGTGAGAGGAGAGGTCATCCATATAAAGAGAGAAAAGGAAAGAAGAAAGACAAAGGAGAAAGCGAAAGAGGGAAGAGAAGGAAAAAGGGGCAACAGGAGGGTGCACCATGCAGCAGAGTGGCATGCCCTGACAGGCGCAAACTCTGGGGGATCTAGTCATCGATTTTGCACTGAAGTGCCATCAACTATGGTACATGACCCATATACATAATAAAGGACAAATAGGAGAAGAAAGGGAAAACCCAAGATGGACTTACCCACTTGCCAGGTTGGCAAGCTCGTGAGAGAAACACCTTATTGAGCACTGTGGAGTGGGTAACTGAAGGGTGGGATTAGTGACAGCTATTGAGGAATGGGAAAACCTTTGCAGGATTGGCGGAGGTCTTAGGAGGTCCGTAGTAATGTTGGGTAGGTAGAAATATTAATAAACTTCTATGGTGAGGATAAGGGGTACTGGAGATGGTACCAGAGATTGGAGGCAGAGGTGGACTGGAGGTATACTGGAGGATATGGCAGAGGTGAGGGGAGGATGAACCAGAGGTGAACTGGAACAGTGGTGGAGTAGGTTGGAGGTTGGGCAGAGTTGGTATGGATATGACAGTCCCTCTGCTCATCCTCTACCTCTGGCCTCCCTTCTGGGGAAAGGTCCAGACACACTTGTTCCCTCCTTGCTGTGTTCTGACACTGTGGATGGATATGACAGGTGGAGAGGAGGGTGGAGAGGAGTGAGGAGAGGAGTGAGGAGAGGGAGGTGATGTCAGGTCTGAAGGTGGATATCAGAGCAGACAGGGATAGGGTAGGACTATGGAGGTGGCGGAGAGGGGGGTCTGGAAGTCAAATTGGGATTGGGGATGTATGGATATGACACCAAGCCCCTATATCATTCTAGAACTATCTATAATACAAATCCAGCACATGTAACTAGTGTGAGGTATGGGAGTAGAGAGGTCTCTGAAAAGCATAAAAGGCCACTGCTTCTGCCCCCTCTCAAACCTCAGGTAGAAATATAAGTTTAATTCTCCTCACCAGTGGTTGGGTCATATACATATATGTATACCTGATCCCAACTCAACTCCTGGACCCTTTCTGCCACCTCTGGAGTCCTACCCTATTCCCATCCACTTTGATCTCCACCTTTGGATCTGACCCCACCTTCCACTCTCTCCTGATTAATCTCTGCAAAGGTACAACCTCCCATTCCTGTCCCATATCCCAAACTTGGACACCGATTGTACCTCTGCTCCAAGATCCTGTCCTGGTCCTGACCTTGGACTTTGACACCACTCCGGCTTAAGTCCATTGCATTGGTGACCTCATTTCATGTAAACACCATTGCCAATATTCCTCAGACTTTCAATCCTGCCTCCATAAGCTCTACTACCTCCAAGCTTCATGGACCTACCTCAGCACCTTTGCTGTTTGTAGTGTATACTTTGCATTTCTCCCTCACCCTTATTTGGACTACTGCTTCTTTCTATTCAGCCAGTTAGTCATCCACCCCACTTCCCCTCATCCTCCTGCCCCTCTGGGCCCTCGCCCTCCTTACTTTCAAATGCACCATAGAGTCTAACCCTTGACCCTCAGTGTAGTTCCTAACCCATACTTCCCTTTGTCTCCATTCAGACACCTTTGTTCCATTTCAGACCCCCTTTGTTTTTCATACTTCCATCTCCCCTTTATATATAGACATTGTACATACTTGTTTGTTCCTCAGTCAGTAAATGACCTGAGCAACCTGAACTCAATGTGAACCAACTTGGATGCCCCCTAGAGAAGGGAACAAAGGGAACTGGAAGGAGACAAAGGGGTACTGGATGAGGGAACAACCCCAAGGGTCAAGGGTTGGAACTCTATGGTGGTTCCCAAATGGGCAAGGCCAAGAGGGGAAGGAGTGGAGTGGGTTGTGGGGAATGACAGCTGACTAATATGGAAAGGAAGCAGCCATCTAAATAAGGAAGAGGCAACAAGAGGATTAAATGACACCATACAGTAGAGACTGCAGGGTCTGGAGTAAGTTCTGGAGGTCCGGAGTCAGAAGTCAAAGTCCAGAATATTGGCTAGATGTAATAAATGAAATGCAATAAGGAATACAAGGAGATAAGACAGAGGAGGAGGTCAAAGTCCAGGGGTGGAGATGTGACCAGAGTTCCAGAGGTGGAGGTGCAATGGGGTTCCAGTACAGGAGTCCAGAGCTGGAGGTGTGGAGCATCACAAGCTCTGGTCTGGAAGGTACGAGGTTGGGATCAGACCTGGAGTAAACCGGAGTTGGACCAGAGGTAGTGTTGGATGTTGTGTTGGAGCCAGAGGTGGAGTGGGCTCTCAACAACCAACAGGGGGAGGAGGTGGTGGTGGATGTGGAGTTCTGGAGGAGGAGATGGAGGTCCAGAATCAGGAGCAGAGGTCCAGAGCTGTATGGATATGACAGGGTGCAGTTTCCCTGACAGAAGAACAGGGTGCATCACTGTGTTGGACACTGTGGCTTAATGGTTAAAGCAGTTGACTAGAAGTCAATTCCTCTGAGGGTGCATGTTCAAATCATTCCAGTGTCTCCTTTTTGTTTTAGTGCATAAAAAGAGGTGAAGAACAATATGTGGCTCACAGGCTACATCATTGTGATTGTGGCTGAATGGCTAAGGCAGTTGACTAGAAGTCAATTCCTCTCAGAGGATGCATGTTCAAATCATGCCAGTGTCTCCTTTTGGACCATCTGGTGCTTTATTGACAACAGTATGTGATTTGCAGGGTACTCCCAATCTGAATAACCCTCACATCCACCACCTGTCTCCTGACTTCACTCTGCCCCCTCTGGTTGATGCTTATGAACCCTAACCTCCATCAAATCCGACCTCCTCCACCATCATTACCCTTCCTCTTCCACTCCTCCTTCAATCTCCTCTGGTGTACTGGTAAGAGAATCAAAGTCACTGACAACCTCTGGACCTCTTACCTCCAGACCCTGGACCTCCTCACCTCCTGGACCACACCAACTCTGATCCTTTATATTATTGTCAGGGCCCAGCCTTGGCACAGAGGCAGCTCTAACTCAGGGTCAGACACAGAGGATGCTACTGGGTCACCAGTGTTGAGTTCTCCCTCTAAGTGTTAGATATGGAACCAGGGGTTGATGCCAAGGGTTGCAAATGGTGGCCAATGTGGGCCAAGACTGGCCACTACAGGCTGAGGGTGCCAGAGGTGAGGGGACAAGGCTTGAGGGTAGGGCCTTTGGCCTCAGCAACTCTAAAGGAGCACTGTGCCCCCTAGTTGTCTCATGGCCCACATTTCATGTTAACTTAGGTTGCCTTGTCAGGGGTCAGAGCTAGAGGTCAAGATCAAGTTGATATTAGAAGTACAATAATGTATCATACAGGATATATATAGAAAGGTAAAATGGATGGATGTCACAAACGTCTTTCCTTGGAGGATAGGTCGATCACTATCCAGGCAATGCTGTCGGGTGGAGCTCGGTGTTCCGGGTCATCCGATGGTGGGTTGGAGACAGACCGGAGGTGAGGCAGAGCTCTGAGGGTGATGGGGTGTTGAAGGGACTCAGCTTCAGCAACTCAGAATGGAGCACTGTGCCCAGTATGTTCTCGTTGTCCCCATTTGTCAGGGGAGCTGGCAACAGAGGAACTGAGGCCGCCAGCAGAAGGGGGCCAGAGGCCCCCCCCTCACTACTCAACGGAGGAGGCATTAGCAAGGGTCAATCATTCATCACACAATTCATTGGGTGTTATACCAAGGCATCTCTGGGAGCACCTGTTACTCAGTTCCTAGGAGTGGCAGGTGAGTGGGATGCGATAGACATCCTGGAAGAGGTTTTGGAGGGCTGAAGACTGTTTATATTATAACTGGGGGAACTATTTACTAGAGGGGTATGCATGTACATATAGTAGAAATAATTGGATCTGAAGGTAAAGAAAGGTTACCAAGGGGAAGGGGAAGTAAATAGAAAGAAGTCCACAAGACAAATAGGAATAGGCGAAAAGCCCAAATTACGTTGTAACGGGTCTATTGCCTAGACTCGAGACAGAGAGAAGGGGGAGGGTGGTAGTGTGTGTGGGTGTGGTTCGTGAGGCCGGGTCTTGGTCCGTGGGCGCTACTGAGTCTGCAAAAACCTCAAACAAACACTCACCTATGTCTCTCTTGGACGTCAAGGCTGAGTATTATGATGTGAGGGGTCTTAGACGTGAGAAACTAGCTCAGAGGGGGCGTTAGAGTCGTGGATGGCGTCTTTGCCACTTGGATGCAACTTCTACTTGTCCCTTCACGGGTCTATTCAACACTAACTTGTTATGTACAAGCTGTTATCTAGTTTATATATGTTTGAAATGGAATGAATGGACTGGGGAAATGTAAACGGGCCGTTAGGCAACCGTAAATGATGAATATCCAATTGGGAACAAAGAAACAATAAAAGAAATATGAATGAATGGGGGATATATCATAACGGGTCCGAAATGGGAAATGTAAAAGTTAACTCCGCAACGCTTCGCCACAGCGCCCGCCTATCCTCCCGTCAGCAACCTCCTAGTCTCCAGCTTTCCAACGAGCCCCTATTCGTCCCATTTGGTGCAGTAGTTGTTGAGATGTGGCCATTGACAGGTGCTGTCAAGACCACGTGAGACTCTACTCCATGCTGAACCATCCAGGCATGGGATTGCCATTCTGGGAAATGCTCCGGGGGTGAAGAAGGAAGGTAGAGCATCACTATCGGGTGGAAAAACGGCTGGGTTGTATGTGTGGGTATGGAGGTCTGGAGAGGGGGTGAAATTGGCAGCGTGGTTGGGCATGGGAATTTTGCTTGGGGTTGTCGGGAATGATGGGGAAAATAGGGAAAAATAAGGAATGAGTTTGTGGAGTGTTGGATAGTGATAGAATAAACATCGGGAGCGTCAGAGGGTATGTGGTATATGTTGGTGGCCAAATTCCACAGAATCCGACTTTTTGCGGTACACAGAGTTGTCCCCACAACAACGTTGTAATGGGTCTATCCAACTAGACTCAAGACAGGAAGGAGGGGGATAGGAACCTCACTGAGGGTCAGGTCTGAATGGGTATATTGGTCCTCTAGAGTGTGGTGCTGATACTCTCTTGCTACTGTACAGCAGTGAAGGAGAGAATGAAGGAAGGTCAGTTGGGAGGTTCAAATGAGACCACCACCAAGCTGTTCCCTGGTTCTTTAGTTAGGATGAGGAAGTGTACTAGTATTATTTGTTGTAAATATAGTACCAATCCGAGTGTTTTGGCTAATTCTATTTTTATGGGTTAGTCTTAAAGTTTCTGGGAATTCACTTACAGATAAACCGAGCCCTGCAGAGCTGTTCCTTTATTGAAATTTCTTAATTTGTCTAGGTGTAATTCTGTGTAGCATTGTTCAATTTGGAATTTTAACTTGAATTAAATCTTCTACTTAGTGAATTTTCAAAGATTCTACTCAGTTAATGGATTTGGATTGTGTCTGGAGTGTCCCTTGAGTTTGTTTTATTTTTGTCTTATTTTATTGCTTGTTTTAACAGTAGCAAAATAACTGTTTTGTGTTTACACTTTGAAATCTGGAGTGTTAACCAGCTCTCCTGTTGAAATATCTACTTAATATTTCTCTCCTTAATTGCTGCTTTTTACTACAGTGGCAATCTTAACTGTATATCACTTTTTCGCACTGGAGTGACAACCAGAAATGCTTGAGAAAAATAATACTCTATTTTCTTACTTCTCTGAGGGGGGCGAAAAGTCGCAGAAAGGGTCTCCCTTTTATACTCCTTGGGTCACCTTCCTTTTTCATGCTCTACCTCATTTACAGGATTTATTTACAGTGTATTTTTCTCAAACTAAATAAAAAATGAAATTTTCACGCTATAGTTCTACTGCGCTTTGCTGTGGTGAACTGCGGCTCTACTGCGGTCAGACTGCGCCTAGAATCCTTATTGTCCTTCCTCGCCTAAGCTATTTTAATGGTTAATTAGAACTTGACTGTGCTGCATTTGTTGCAGTTTCCTATTTCAAATTCCTCATATTTACCATTAAATTTGCTATGACTCGGTGATTCTGAATTCAAACTTCGCATTACTATGCATATGGCTGCGCTGAGACCTTCAGCTGTTTTATTCCATTTTTATTCAGCGACATTTAGTTAAAATGAGGTGAATTATTCAGGTTTAAAACTGAAAGAAAAAGTTGCTAGTAGTCAAGAATTACTCAAACAAATGTATTATAGCTCTCCACTTCATTAGAATATTGTTCCCTAAAATCCCTGCCATGGTCCATCATAGTTCAGTGGTTTTCATGGATTTCATTCATCTTCCCTGATTCCCCTTTGTATTATCACATCCTAATCCTCCATATGTTTTGTTCGTTGTTATAGTAAGTCGTCCTTGAAGATATCATATTTTTATGTATTTTATTTAGGGCTCTGGACCTCTTGAAGCTGTCTTCCCATGCATTTTCAGGTTTCTAACTTCATGTCCTTGTATCTCATTCATTTCTGGATGGTTTCTCACGTTCTTGGTATCATAAATTTTCATTTATTCCCACATTTCCAATGGTACTAAAGTTGTGTTCTATTTCCTGGTATTTGTTGAGTTAGCAAAAGTTCACACGCACATTTGGTAATCACATGCATTGTTCCCATAGTCGTTTGTATGCAGGCGCTGTTTCTGTTTAATTGTTCAGGATTTATGATATGCGCAGGTGTTTATATCTTTCATATGGGCTTCTGTGATTTATTTCAGATTTTTCCCTCATGATCTAAGGTTGTTTTGCACTTTCCATGCTTTGTTTTGACCGGGCTCTTCCTTATTTGGATGGAAATTGGTCTTCATGATCTGCCAAAGTGCGGATCTCGGTTCTGACAGCCGGTTCCCTTTGCATTGCCACCCTCACATGTCATTAAACATGATGCGGATTTCTATATTCCCGTCATTGGTATAACTTCACAACGGCTTGACCGTTTGGGCTGAAAATTTGCATAACTATAGTTTCCTATTTTTCATAATTTCCTTGTAAATTTCGTTGTATGTTTTAATTATGGATCCTACGTAAACATCGTCTTTTCCCTGAGCTCGGACTTTTGATGTTGCTATTCCCGTTATTGGATATCTCATTAACGCGTGATCCTTTTATTATGAAAATTTGGGTGGATTAAGATTAGATCCCTTCCTTTTTAATGGGTTATCAAGCTCGTCTCGGTTGTTACTGGTTATTCTTCACGCTTGCTTTTTAAGCGTTGTCCTTGTTTTGCAGGAGTTTCAGTCATATCTCCGTCGTTTATGGGTAGTTTTCCCTGTAATTACTTTCATTGGGTCCGTTTGGGGGACATCTACATTTCCTATTATAAACACGCCTTTGAATTTTGCATTAGTTCCTGAGTAATCCTTGTTCCGTGGTACTTCCATCCTTGGCTACATGTGTGGACATGGGAAAGTAGTTTCTGTGGAGGTTCTCTGATTGTTTTTAGAGTCAAGTCTTGGTCGATTGTCCTAATTCTTTGTTTAATATTTGCTATAAATTCTCCCAAGAATTCCGTCTTGTTGATGCTAAGCTTGAAGTATTTTTGCTAATTTTCTTTCTTTCAATTTATTGCGTATGTAGTCGTAATAATTCGTTAAAATTCAGGTCCTTCTATTTTCTCATATCTACTTGTCATATGGGGTTTTGTGATTTATCTGGCATATTTCCATAATGGGTTTCCATAGTGTGACCGTTATTTCTCCTACAGCGGGTCACGGAAGAGTCCGATAGACAAAATAGGAAAGAATATCACTGTCAGAGATCGGATTATTGTCGGAGACTGGGATATTGTCGGTGTCGGAGATTGTGGCAGAGGTCTGTTGGAGCGCGCGCACGGATATGCGGGCGGAAATATGCGGCGCATCCGGAAGCGCTGTTCAAGGTTAGCAGAGTGGGATCGCGGCCTCAGCGACTCAGGTGGAGCGCTGTGCCCTGAGCTTGACGTTTGGGGGAGATCCCGTATTTACAAACTGACACTTACAGCGGACTTCAAACAAGACTTGTGGGCGGAGCGGACCTGTAGGAGGAGCGCAGACTCCGCGAGCACGGACTCAGAGGGGGGAAGCCCCCTTTGCAGAAGGAGAGACTCAGACCAGACAGGGGGGGTACTCTAGTTGATTTCAGACTGGGGTCCCCGAAAGTATTTACAAGGTATATAAATAGGCAAGAGGGAATATAGAAAGGCCGGTCAGTCCGGCGCGGTCCGGCGCGGAGATAAGCGGGAATTGTCAAACTAAATAAGGACAAGAGCCCGGGAACTGGAAAGGAGGAACAGATCACTAAACAATAAGTGGCAAGGGTTATTGATGAATAACTGAATGAGATCAATAACCTAGTGCCAATAAAGAGGGGATCAAATGCCGATATTGGCAGGGAAGCAAACAATAAATGGCACTCGGCAAGGAATGAATGATAAGCTGCCAAGTGACAAATGGCCAGAGGAAAAGTGGAGGTCAGTGCGCGGCGCCGATACAAGTCCGCAAATAAGCGGGGTCGGTGTGGTGCCGACACAAGTCCGCGAACAGAAGTTGATCTGCCAGCACTGTCACACAAGGACAGCATGAAGGCCAACAGAGGTACAGAGGGGAGTGGGAGTGTTGGCCTGACCAGAGGTGTCAAGGGCAACCAGAAGTGGCCAGAAGGTGCAGAGATGGGCAGAGGGTGCGGAGTGGGCAGAGGGTGCGGAGTGGACGGAAGCGGGGCATGGCTGTGACCACATAGCGGGAAGCGATGAGTGTGGTTCAGATGGAGACAAGGCAGGCGTGACTGAATGCCGGGAGCGCCAAGGGCTCAGGAACTGGAGGTAAGGTTGGAATACCGGCAG